CAGGACTGGCCTAGGGGTATTTTAAAGGGGTTTTAAATTAAATTTTTAGTAGAAGCGGCCAAATTTAAATAGTTATTTTTAATCTTTTTAAATTTTGTATTGTATTGTACCATTGTTTTAAACTGGCTGTAAGCCGCCCTGAGTCCTCCGGGAGAAGGGCGGGGTATAAATTTAATAAAATCAAAATCAAAAATCAAATTGCATTCTCATGCGGCCTTCACAGCCTCTGAAAACCACGTGAGAACGTTGTGTGCTTTCATGAACATTTCCTATCCATTGTTGGGGAAAGTTGGCGTGTCACCCAAAACGTTGTGGCGTGCCACCTTTGATGCATGTGTCCTAGATTTGGCCCAACTGTCCCAGACCACAGGATAAGCCTGGCGGGATCAAAATGCTTGACGTGGCTGAAGCTTGTAGGTCGGAGAAGGTGTTCCTCTCCAGGCCAGTTGCGTCCGGTGCCCCTGTGGATGCGCACCCGTCTCCCGCCCGCATCGTCGCGCTGGGGCTACAGGCTCTGCTTTGCCTCCGCAGTTACCCAGGATTGCTGATCATCCCGCAGAGCATCCAGGACAACACGGTTCAGCGGATCTCGCGCTGCTACCGGCAGAACCGCTTCCCGGTGGTCTGCTGGCGGAACTCGCGCACCAAAGCCCTGCTGCTGCGGTCGGGGGGCTTGCACGGGAAGGGCGTTGTGGGTCTCTTCAAGTCCCAGAATGCTCCCGCCACAGGTACCTCCGGGGCGGGTCTCCTTGTGCCCTCCTCGTGCCCTCCCCTCCCCTGAGTTCCTCTCCTCCCGCCTCTCTTTCCAGGCCCCTCCCAGGCAGACTCGACCAGTCTGGAGCAAGAGAAGTACCTGCAAGCCATCATCCACTCCATGCCCCATTATGCGGACACCGGTGGGCGCAACACGCTCAGTGGCGGCTTCAGCTCTGCCCACGTGAGCCACTCAGGTGAGTGGGTGGGCAGCCTGCGCTGGAGGGCGGTCCAAGAGAGGCCAGCTGCTTTTCTCCAGCCTTTGTGGCAACCTCAAGGAGCCGGTCTGGGTGTGGTGGCTGACGTAGCCCTGGGAGGCCGGGGGAAGGGAGCCTCGGCCGGGTGAGTCGTGTACAGCTGTGGCGTCTCCATCGCATTTGCTAGCAGGTTCTCCTCCCCCCCATTTCATTTGCGCAGCACAACCCACCTCCATTTCTTGTTTGTCTGACTGACATTGGCTCCACCTGGAATGGCTGGCCTGTGGCAACTGGGACCTCGCCCTCACCCACCATGCTGCCTGCCCAGGAAAGGGGTCTAGCAGTGGCAGGGGGAGGCTTAGGCAGGTGGGGAGGGTTTTCTGCCCTCCTGCGGGATCTAGGGCAGGCGGAGGGGCATGATTCCCAGAGTATTCTGCCGGGGAGGGGAGGGGAGGGGAGGGGAGAGGCTGCTCTCCTGAGCCCCGGTGGGAATGTCCACCTTCTCTTGGTGCTACAGATTCTTCTGAGAAGCGTCAGCCCAAGCTGGGATCCCTTATGAAGCAGGTGATGGGAGGGAGAGACGAAGGGTCCAGCACGGGGAGCCGTGGAGGTGAGACGTTGGCAGCAGCTGCTGCTGCTGCCACCCCTGGCTGGCTGGTGAAGGGCCGGCTTTGGGCGCTGGAGGCAGGTCCTGCTTCCTTCCTTGCAAGAGCAGGGTGATGGGTGGGGGAATCCCAGAGTGGCCTACAGCTCTCCCAGGCATTTGTCACTCATTTCGTCTGCTCCTCCATCGAGTCATTTATCCCCCCACCCTTTGCCCACCCCGAGAGTGAGCAGTTCCCCCCCTCCCATCTCCCCCTGCTGAGATGCTTCTCCATCGTGTTCCCTCTTAGCCCCAGGTCACAGAACTAGGGTAATTACCTTCTCCAGCCCCAAGATTGCCGCACCAAGGAAACCTGACTCCCCCCGAGGTACAGTATGGCCACCGGGATCACTCATGTGGCCCTCACCCGTGGCTAACCCAGCCCCAGCCCCAGCCGGGCAGGCCCTCCTCCCTCCCTCCCTCTGGCTGTCCGTCCACCTCCCTCTCTCTGCGCTAACCGTCCTGCACCCTCCCTGCATGTTCTGTGCGTCTTCCCGTGCTTTGGGGCCCCTCTTAGGAAAGCCCCCTGCCCCGGATCCTGTGCCGCTTTGGAAGGGCAGCTCACTCCAAAGGGGCGGCATTTCCTGCGGTGACGGGCGCCATTTTCCTTCCAGGCAAGTGGGGCAGCATCCGAGCCGGGGGCCGCTTAAGCAGCTACGCCCTCAATGTGGAGGTCGGGTCCCGACTGGCTGGGAAAGAATTTGGCGCACAGCCCAACGGGTCCCCCTCGGAAGCCGGTTTCCTGCGCCAGCTCTACATAATCGGAGACAAGTCCCAGTTGCGGGTACTGATTGGCTGGGCCAGGCCAGGGGAGGTTGTTACCCACTGCCCCCCCCATGAGAGCTGGAGGGGGGGAGATGGGTGCTAAAAGCCTCCCTGGAAACGCTCCTTTGTGCTTCCCAGGGAATCAAGGCGGACCCCTTGCAGCACTGGGAGATGGTGCCCATCGAGGTGTTTGACGCGCGGCAAGTCAAGAGCAGCTTCAAGAAGCTGATGAAGGCCTGCGTCCCTGGCAGCCCCTCCCCAGAGGCCGGCCTGGCCTACCTGCGCTCCCTGGAGGAGTCGGAGTGGCTGGTGCAGGTCAGTGGCAGAGAACCTGGGTCCAACCTCCTCCTCCTCCTCCTCCTCCTCCTCCTCCTCCTCGCTTGCTGGCCTGGCTTTAGGCAGAGCCCGGGGGCTAGGCCCCCTCCCCTCCGGCCTTGACCCCATGGGCCTTTGGCTGCCCTAGCCTGTCTTTCTGGCCGGAAAGGTAGCCTGAACTAATGCACCCCTACACACACACACACACACACACACACACACTTGCATGCTTGATGTTGTAAAGGTCGTGCAATCTCCGTCTGTCTGCCCCAGGAGAGCAAGGCAGCCCTTGTCAGGCATCAAAGGCCGGAGGATGGGGGGGGGGGAGATAGGCTTGGCCCCTGTTTTTAGGATATTATTAAAACTTTCCTTTTTCTCAGGCATTGGATTGCTTTACTACCTAGTTGACGTAGGGTTTTATTCTAATTATGGTTTAACAATTGTTAAATATTTTTGGAGGTGGCTTGAAGCTTCAGATTCTTCTTTCAACACCTGGGGGTGGGGGTGGTAACAGGCATGTTATGACTTTCCTGGCTTGAGCCTCTCCCAATTGCCCCCACTCATGCTGTTGACCTCAGGTGCGTGGATCGTTGTTTGGGTGATCCTGAGCTGTTGGGTGTTTGGTTTTTTTATATTCCGTAATTTATATTATTATAAACTGCCTCGACTCACCTATGCGAGACGGGCAGCTGTATAAATCAGATCAATACAAACATACATGAACGAAGACAAAGACCAGGCATTGTGCAGGGGTTAGGGTTAGGGTCCTGGGAACGGTGAGCAAATTGAATCAGTCGGGTGCAGGGAGCTGGCGTGAATTCTTAGGAATCGGAGTCTCCAAGAAGTGAAGGAGGAGACGACGGAGGGAGGGAGAATCTGCGGGGCCTGAAGTGGGGAAGGGAGGCAAAGGGGAGGAGCGGCTGCTGCACCCTCATTCAGCGTGGAGGGTGGTTCCTTTCCAGGCGTCAAGGGGAGGATCGGAGGGAGACATTCTGGCATTGGGATACAGGGAGGGTGTCTGTCCTCTGTTCACCTAGAGCAGGGGTCCCCAACGCCCGGTCCGTGGACCGGTACCTAGCCGCATCATGCCAGCAACATAAGCAAAGCCCCATCCGCGAGATGCAGGCAGCACACAAAACCACGCCTCCTCCGGTCCGTGGAAAAACCTCTCTCCACGGAACCGGTCCCTGGTGCCCAAAAGATTGGGGGCCTCTGACCTAGAGAGCCCTGGGGGGAGGGGAGGCTGAGGTTGCCTACCCAGAGAAGATCGAGGAGGAAAAGGGGGAAAAAAGAAGGAAGAGAGAAAGATGTGCCCGCCAGCCCTTTCAGCTAAGACCCCAGACTCCCAGGGAAGACACAGCCGTGGGGCTGAAATCGGTCTGCTCTTGAGGGGTGCTTCTGGATCCTTGACACCATTCAGCTGCCAGATAAACGGGGCCGGTTGTCTCAAGGACACGGGCAGTGCAGGGAGAGGCCTAAGCCTGCCCACCTTTGGTTGAAGGGGCCTCGGCAGGAGGTTGGGGTTTGAAGCAGGCCCAGCACCATTATACCCTCCTCTTGTGCCAGGGCCTGGGGGGGGGGGGGGAGGACAGCAGCCAACCTGGGAGGAGGGGCCAGGGGATTTGGACCTGCGCTTGCTCAAGGGCAGCCAGCAGGACTGCTGCTGCAGGCGGCCCTGCCCCTGAATTCCAGGCAGTTGCGCGTCAGGCAGGGGTCAACTGAAGAAAAAAAAAAAGGAAAGAAATCACTGGAAGGAGAACCTTTGCAGCTGTGCAGTGACTCTCCCTTTCTTTATGGCAGATCCATAAAATCCTGCAGATCTCGGTGCTTGTGGTCGAACTGCTGGACACGGGCTCCTCGGTCTTGGTCAGCCTGGAGGACGGCTGGGACATCACCACTCAGGTCAGCAGGCCTCCTCCCAGAAGTGGCCCTGCCTTGGCCCCGAGTCTCCCCCTGACCCGCCTCTTTCCCCCTCAGGTGGTCTCCCTTGTGCAGCTGCTCTCGGACCCCTATTACCGCACCATGGAGGGCTTCCGGCTCCTGGTGGAGAAGGAATGGCTCTCCTTTGGGCACCGTTTTGCCCATCGCGGGGCACAGACCCTGGCCAGCCAGAGCAACGGCTTTACACCTGTCTTCCTGCAGTTTCTGGATTGCGTCCATCAGGTGAGGGAGAGAGGCCTGGCCGGTCCTGGCTTGCCCCCCTCCTCCTCCCCCTCCTCCTCCTGCTGACCTTCTGGGCCTCTGGCCGTGTCTTGCAGATCCACGCACAGTTCCCCATGGAGTTTGAGTTCAGCCAGTACTACTTGAAGTTTCTCAGCTACCACTCTGTGTCCAACCGCTTCCGCACCTTCCTCCTGGATTCTGACTACGAGCGACTGGAGCTGGGTAAAATGGGTGGGACCCGAGATGGTAGTGGGAGGCCTCTAGGACCGGCCAGCTGAACTGACTCCCCCTTGCAGGTCTCCTGTATGAAGAGAAAGGGGAGCGGAAGGGCCCCCAGTCCTACCGGTCCATTTGGGACTACGTGGACCGGCTGAACAAGAGGACCCCCGTCTTCTTCAATTACATGTATGCCCCTGAGGATGGGGAGGTGAGTGCCACCCGGTCAGCCAGCGGCGGCCCTGGGGAGGAGGGTGGAGAGGTCGGGCTGGATGGTGCGCCAGCTGCTGCCTGCCTTGTGTTCAGGTCCTGCGTCCGTACAGCAATATTTCCAGCCTCAAGGTGTGGGACTACTACACCCACGAGGCTCTCTCGGAGGGGCCGTCCTATGACTGGGAGCTGGTGCAGGATCAGGGGGAGCTCAGTGAGGAGGCTGGCCAGCAGGACACCGGCACCCCCCAAAGCCGTCGCAAGATCGTTTGGCCCTGTTACGACAGCTGCCGCCGAGTCGAGCCAGACGCCATCTCTCGGCTGTTGGAGGTGAGCGGCTGTGCCGGGCCTGTTTGGGGCCCGGGGGGGGGGGCGCTTGCAGAGGGATGCCCAGTCGTCCGGGCAGCAGCAGCCATTGGACAGAGCTCGGGCAGGCCCAGGAAGCGCAACAATACCCTGGCCGATTGGAAGAATGTGCTCCAGGCTACGCAGCTGAACTCCCAAGGGCTGGTGGAGCTCCATGGTGCCCCCAGCTCCGCAGCCCCAGAGCGGGAGTGGCTGCTTCTCCTGTTACCCCTCGGAGACTCCTGGGGGGTGAGGGTGGAGGAAAGCCTGCAAATTCAAAATGAGAGGGGAGTTAATAACAGTGGATCAGAAAAGGAAAAATGGACAGGTGACTTAGCAGGCAGCCTTGACCAGTCCTGCCCCCCCCCCCTTTCCCGGTTCCAGGAGGTGCAGAATCTGGAGATGGAGCTGGGCCAGGTCCCAGAACGCTGGAAGGAGACCTGGGACAAAGTGAAGGCTTCCCAACAGTCGGAGGGCTCAGCGCTGGACAGTAAAGTAAGGAGTCCAACTGTGCACGCAGGGCGGTGGGCGTGGGGGGGGGCTGCTTTTGCAAGCGGCTTTTATCAGAATGCCTTCCTTCCACTGACCACCCACTTCCCGCAGGCGGCAGCGCCCAGTTCTCTACTGATGGCATCGAGTCTGTCGCATCAGCGGCGTTCGCTCGGCGTCTACCTGCAGGAGGTGGGCAGCGGCAGCTCCACCTTAAACCTCAGCCTGGACAGTGAAACCAGCAGCTCCTCCACCCCCTCGAGTGGGAAGCAAGGGGGCCGTAAGAGCACCGGCACGCTTTACAGTCAGTTCCAGACGGCAGAGAGCGAGAATCGGTGCGGATGGGTGGCTTGGGAGGGCCTGGGGGTGGGGTGCAAGGTGGGATGGAGCCTATCGGCTTCCTCCTCCTCCTCCTCCTCACCTCTTTTTCTCCACAGTTCCTACGAGGGCTCCCTCTACAAGAAAGGAGCCTTCATGAAACCCTGGAAGCTGCGCTGGTTTGTGCTGGATAAAACCAAGCATCAGGTAGGGGGGGTTTGCTTTACTGGGCAAGGGACCCCTTCTGCCTGGCTGGTTAATTGGCACAGCTCTGACCTTTGGCCTTCCTTCCTTCCTTCCTTCCTTCCTTCCTTCCTTCCTTCCTTCCTTCCTTCCTTCCTTCCTTCCTTCCTTCCTTCCTTCCAGCTGCGATACTATGACAGCAATTTGGACACAGAGTGCAAAGGGATGATTGACCTGGCTGAGGTGGAGGCCATCACTCCAGGCACCCCCACTATGGGAGCCCCCAAGATGGTGGATGAAAAAGCTTTCTTTGATGTAAGTGACCTTTGAGCCTGATGGAGGGCAGCCCAGTTGGGGAAAGGTGAAAAGTGGCTGGTGTGGGGTGCGCGTTGCCCCCACACCTGGTGCCCCCCCCTCGCCCGTTCTTAGGACCTTGCTTCTCCTCCTTGGCAGGTCAAGACAATAAAGCGGGTTTACAATTTCTGCGCCCAGGATGTGCAGCTGGCCCAGCAGTGGATTGATCGCATCCAGAGCTGCTTGTCTGATGCCTGAGGTGCCGTCTGGGCCTCAGTGCCACGCTTGGCCTGGCACAGCACCGCACAGGACGGAAGGAGGTGGGGTGTGTTGCCCAGGAGGGAGACCCCAGCCTGGCTTGGGCACGTGCAGTTTGCGGGGAAGGGCATGGCTGGCCTCTCCCGTCTTGCAAAGAGGCGAGTCCGTCACGCGTCCGGCCTGGCGGATCCTCAGGAGGAACTTGCTCATCCTCCATCCTTGCCTGGAGGTTGGCAGAGCCATCGGACTTCCATGCCCCGGCTGCCTCCGGAGCAAGTCTGGCCGGCCGAGGAAATGGGCTCTGCTCTGTCGGGGAAGCTGGCCGAGGGTCTGGCTGCGGGCAGAGGTGGAAACAGATTGATGCAAAGCATGATAGCAACCCACCTCCCCCCCCCACACGCCCGGGGGCTGGAAGTCCTGATGTTGGGAGGTTGGAAGACAGAATTAAGGGGTGTGTGTGCTGCACTCTGCCCCTTAATGCTGCTGCTGATGGACAGAATGGACAGTTCCTGGTCAAAGGCTCAGTCAGGTGGCGGGGAGACGTTTGTGACCCCCCCCACCGGTTCTTGATCACTTTCCCCTCCCCCCCCCCAGCATCCTCAGGGCTAGCCCTGGAGTGCAGGGCAGCTAATGGCCTCCCCCCCCATGTGCTAGCCTAGCATCTGAGAGCAAATCATGTAACTTGGTCTTTCTGCTCCTGCATCACCATCACGTGTACACACACACACACACACACACACACACACACCCCGGATCCCAGATTGCAGCCCTCTTCATTCCCTTCTCCTTTTGAACAGTAGAAGGAGATGGGTGAAGCTCTAGACCTTGTCCGTAGTTTGGACCTCCCCCCTCCTATTTTTTATTGGTACCATAAAGGCCATGGCTGGTGTGAATTTGGGGGGTTTTGTAACTTCTTGAGCAGTTGTAGATTATTGAAGTTTCTGTACATTGTGTCAAACCTAAAGAGTTCTTGTATTGTATTGTGCTTAGAGGAAAAATATATATGAAGAGAAAAAAACTAATGGAATTTAATAATAAAAAAAAAACACATCACGGGTTTGGCTAGATGTGACTCTGTGCCTGAGGGGTTCCTGCAGCCTTCCTGCCACAGATCAGTTTGGTCTGGATGCTCTTTTAAGGTCCAGTTCCAAGGTGATGTACTTTGATTTGGGGGGTTTTTTCCTTTGGGGAGGCGGCATCCAGAACCAGGCAGCGGAACAGTTTTAAATAATCACAAGGTGGCTACTTCTTCCAGGCCAAGTCTTGCACACTAAAGGAGGATTTTGTTCAACACGCACATAAGTTGACGTGATTTCATTTTGGCATCGTTTTATTTAAAGAATGAAGCTAGAAAATGAAGTATTTAAAAAGAAATAATTTGATAATGTATTTCAGTTTTCTTCTGCTGCATTAAAAATATATATTCATACATTTCCTGGATTTGCAATCTACATTGAATAGCAATCATCGTATGAGGCAGACAATTTGCAGACAGCAAGACGGCTGTGGCCTTGGGTGATCCGGTCCGGGACTGCTAAGCCAGCCACAGGTCTTCCTTCACACACTCCCCCTTGGCTGTGTCTCTGCCAGCATGAAGCTGGTTGAGCATCAGTTTGCTGGTGATGCCCACCTGTGCATCTCAGTGCCTGCCTCACCCAGGGATGCTGTCCGTCCGCTGTCTCAGGGGGCCTGGAGGCTGTTTTGGACGGTCTTTCTGGGCTCTGGCTAAAAGATCAAATGGCAACTGCGGCAGATTCATCTCCGCATCCTAGTTGCCCTTTTTCCTGGATTGGCAGACTGGCCATCATTCATGCTTTCAACACCTCTTGTGTTATTGTTCTGATGTGCTCTGACTTTCAACACCATCTGATGCTAGTTCTTCTGTTCCAGACTTCAGGTGAGTGTTAATGGGCACATCTTGAAGCACTCATGTGGGCCTGTTTGGTGGGCTGCTCTGCCTGCCAGTGCAGCTGGATCCAGGTGTAACCCAAGGTGATGCTTGTTACCTAAATAGCTTGGGGCGTTATATCTATGGGCTTGTCTTTCCCTCCAATTGCCCCGTCCTATAACAGCAGACACCTAACGTAGGTCCCAGAGTCTCAACTTCCCTGCCTTTCAGCTCTCTGCCCACAACCCCAACGTGCTACCCTTTGGAAGACCTGTAACAACTTGGTTTTCAAATGAACTAACCAGAAACCAGTTTGTTCGAGGATGACTGGAACTTATCTGTATTTCTCCAGCACAATTAGCTGTGTATTTGGTTTACTATTTGCATTTTTCATGCTGTTTCAATTCTATGTGCCACCTTGTTGATTAGGCAGCCTTATGAATCAAATAAATGAGACTCCTCTTCTGCAGCACTGGTGGTAAGCTAGAAGCCAAACTGCATTTAGCAGAGCAGATGGAAACATTAGTGACCACAAAGGTTTCTACAGGAAGGGGCTTAACTTCCTGACCACGAAGCATACGAAGAATCTTTGAATGCACACATGCATGCATACACACACACACACACACCAATGCCAAAAGTAATAGATTACTCCATGGAGGAAAAAGCAGCAGCTATTACTAACCATGATGGCTACAGCCAGAGACTGCATGCTGTTGCAGGGCAGGTACTGAGCCTGATCCGTGGTGCCTGTTGGTAGGCTTTATTGGAAGCGCAAGTTTCACTGCCGGGAGGGGGGGGGGAAGAGGCTGCACTTCAGGATAGTGCACATAGTTTGGAAATTCAATTTCTTCCCAATTGCCATTGTAACCAAGATCCCTGCTGCCATCGCCACCCCACCTCCCCAAGCTATTGGATCCAGCTGCTCTTCCCAGCCCTGTGGTGTGGGCTTCACTTTTCCGAAAGGGCCTGAACTTGTAGACAAGCCAAAGATTTCTCTGATGGACAGCAGTGGGCAAAACACACACTTGCTAACCAGGTTACTGGGAAGAGAGCATTCCAGCCACCGGCATTTGCCTTTATAACAAGAAAAACTGCAGTCCAGACAGAATGAGACCATCTTCTTTGGCGCAAAGCTTGGCTCCTGCCGGCTGTTCCCATCTCCATTGCAACCTTCCTTCTGTGACCGGGGGGGGGGGGGGCTCACAGGCAGGGCACACTCATACAAATATCCCATATAATTTTCCCCGGATGCATTCGTCAGAGTTATCCTAGAGGAGCGAGGTCCATTGTCAAAGGAACAAATGTAAGAGTGGAATTAGAAGATGCACTTAGTGGAAGAATGAAAACCCTGGAAGGGAAACAGTGCAGCGATAGCAACCTGCCTGGGGGCTCGGAGGAGGGCTTGCAGCTGGCCTTGCAGGAAGAGGAGAGCCAGCCGCTGCTTCCCTAAGGAATCAAGGCTGGGTGGGTGTGTGTGTGTGTGGGGGGGGGTTAGGGCAGCAGAATGTTTCAAACCAAAAAGAAAAAAATTCCAGGTTCTGGAACCAGAATTTCCATCACTAAGCGAGGCAGTGCACTGCCAAAACACGTACCACACCGTGTGGCAGCGGCAGTTTCCGTAGTCCCAGTTGTGGTTGTTAGCCCAAGACTTCTCCTCTGCCATGCTCATCTTCAGCTTCCTCTCCCCTCCTATCTCCCCCTCCCATTTCTGCCTTTTGACCACCCTGCCCTGTGCTCTGCCCTGTTCCCCGCCACCCTAAGACCCCATCACCCTTGCCGCCCCAGCTGACCTCCTTTCGCTGCGGAGACATGCCCGGCCTGACCTCTGCCAGGCAGCTGCTGGGGCACACGGTCGTCCTGAGGGTGGCACGGGCAGCAGAGTGCAGGGCAACCAGAAGAGCACAAATGGGGGGGGGGAACGACACGTGTGGGGGGGAGTTGAAGCTCACCCTGGAATTATAAACGTGGGTGGGCTGCCCAAGCAACCATACTTTGGTCACGTGACTGCAGGGTGTTGCAGCAGCCATAACTGTTCTCATCTGTTCAGTACAATCGTAACTTCGGTCACTAGACGAGGGGTTGTTAAGTGAGGACTATCTATATTAATTTGTCCTTCTAGGCCAGGCATGTCAAACTCATGACATCACGTGACATCGCACAACGTATTGGGACTTTTCCCCCATTGCCGGCAAAGGGGTGGGTGCGGTTTCGGTGTGACGGCAGTTTGACATGCCTGTTCTAGGCAAAGAACTCCCGTTTTATTTTCCATGCTGAGCACTCAGTGCATGGACAGGAACGGCTATCGGCAGCCCTCCAACGTACGGACGAGTGGTTCACCTCCAAGAAACTACTAAGGGGGAGCTCGGGGCCCGGCCCCCGTCCAATTCCCTGACCACAAACCACACAGCTCACGCAAGTGGGAGAAAAGTGGGCTGGCCTTGATCCTCAAAGGTCTCTGGCCAACCCTTTAATTTGCAAAAAACATGGGACAACAGACATTGAGTTTTTTTTCTAAAAACAAACGGAGCGTTGTTATGCTGGGGGTGGACTGCAACGGTGCCAGATTTAAGCTCGTTTTCTTCACCCACCCCAGAAAAACGTTTAGGTCCAGTGCTGAGGATCAGCAAGTCCCACTGAGGTTTGGCAAGGAGCAGGTAGCTTCATAGAGCCACGAAACACCAGGAGGGGCACCAAGGAGCCAATTCCATCCAACGGCTCTGGGCCAAAATCACGGTCTCGATTCTGCAGCTCAGCCACCCTCCATTCTTCCGCTGGGGGGGGAGGGAGGGAGACTGCCCCTGCCCCCCACAGAGCCTTTCCAGCTGCCCCCGAGTCCACGTCTCATCTAGGGCACGGCTCACACTTGGCCTCCCCAAATGTCTCTTCCAACTTTCAAGGATGGCATGAGAGCCAAAGTGCAAAGTGTTGCAGTTCTTGTTTCTATTAAAATTTTTACAAAATCAAACACACCAAAGGAAGAATCAAACTCTGTGTGAAAGGGAAGTCTCCAGAGACCACCCCACCCCAGAAACGCTCCAGGACCTCGTTTCTCGCAAGGTCACCTTGGTTCCCAGGGATGATGCCGGCTGATGTAAGTCCCTCACCTGACGTGCCTGCCTTCCTTCCTCTCAAGATCAGCAAGAAATTCTGTCCCCCAGGCCACCCGCTACCCGTTGCTCCCTGCCCCCAACTTTCTTGTGTAGTGGCCGCGTTCCCGATTGGGAGTTATTGCTCGATAAAAAGCTGGCAGGCAAGTTCCAGCGCCAGCTTTGTCCCAGCATCATTGGGCCAGTCCGGTGCTTTCCTGGAGAGCAGAGGGGGCTGGATGCAAGCCTGGGAGGTCAGGGCCCGCCCCTCCTGCCTGCAAGAGCCAAGCCAAGGAAGGGCACCGCTGCAGGCCAGTCAAGGCTGGATGGAGCTGGGGGGGGGGGCTGGAGGAAGAGGAGCTGACGCTGCACTCGGGCCACGGAGAGACACGGCTGAAGAGGGACCCGCTCTCTACTCTCTGTTCTCATCGAAGGCAGCCTTGGTTACAAAGAACACGTGGGCAGCCCAGCTGCAGTCAGGCATTTTCCGGGCCGTCCCCCGTCAAGCTGGGCCTTTCAGCGGCGCCTCTGTTGCAAGGTGGGGCTCCTCATTCCTGCAAGAAAGGGGGAGGGGAGAGAGAGGGGTTAACAGCTGCTGCCAGGGTGGTTTTTCTCCATCGGTCCAAATCCTCCTGGCAGCCTGATTCCCACCTTCCTGCTGCCACCAGCTTTAGGCCCACTGAAAGCCTTAAGGCGGGACCCGCCAATCAGGCAGGGCCTCCGGAGGGCCGAAAGAGGTTCGCTCTCCTTCTCCGCCGGAGGCCGATGGGCAGCTGCCATGGCAACCAGTCTGAGCCAGGAGCTCAACTAAGATGGCAGAAAGCGATGGAGCTGAACGCCCTCCCTCTTACTCCTTGCCCCGCCCCACCCGTGACCCAAAGAGCAGCCCCACTCAGGCGCTTGTCCGGCCTCCATCCCCGGCGAGGCCCAGCCTGCAAGCAGCCAGGTGCCCGGCTTTAACCAGTATTCACTCCTGCCCTCACCTGCCGTCCCTCTTGGCCTCTGGCGTGACGGCCGCAGCAGCAGGATCTGGAGGAAGGTCAAGCGCCGGGACAGCTTCGCTCCTCAGAGGATTCGCCCGCTTGTCAACAGTCACAGAGTTGCTGCTGTTGGGCGAGAAGAACTGAAGCTGGTGAAAGGGACCAACTATTGCCCCAAAAGACCCGGCTGGAGAAGCCAACTGGGCCCTTCCTGTGAAGCCCCCTCGTGAGGGGGGGGGAACACCAGGGCCAGGAGGGCCTGCAAACTCAGCTCAACCCATTGAGGGGGCTAGAAAAATCCGAGGAGGGCAACCCTCTTCCTGCTTCCTAAGGCCAACTGCCTCAGGGGAACAAGAGAGGCAACGGGAGGGATTCCCACCTCCTGCTCTTGAGCACCCCAGAATCAGCCCTGGAACCGACCACAAGAGGGGGCGGCCAGGGCAGGAGAGCGAGGGCTTTCCCCCCTCCGGGAAGAGCCAACACGCCTGGACCAGCAGCCCAGGAGGAGAGGTGAGGGAACACCCCCAACTCTTGCTGGGCAGGGATCGCTCACCACCCACCCACCCCGACTGATCCAGGAGAAAGGGGAACGGAAGGAAGGACGGCCCAGCCAGAGGCGGCCTTGGGTGCCTACAAGGGCCGGGAAGCCCTGAGGCAGGGGTGGCCCTTTCCGCGTGCCTCCCTGCTGAAGAGGCTCCGGGAGAGGAAGAAGAAGAGCAGAGAGGAATGACTGACTTGACGGGGGGGGGGGGGGCGGCACAACGGAATGGAAACCGCTTGGACTTCTCCAGCCTGGGATGCATTTGTACCAGGAGGGGCTCCCAGCGAGGGAGGGCTGCACCTGACAAGGCTGATTTGCAGGGCTTCAAAGGAAATTCTGCAGGGAGGGAGGGAGGCAGGGAGGGAGGGAGCCCAGAAAGCAGTGGAGATGCCAGGAAGGCAGCCGAGCAAGGAGGCCACCCGGCAGGTCATAAGCCTGTAAGCACCGGAAGGAAGAGGCCGCCGGAGGAGCCGGCTCTCTCATCCACTGCAGAGGTTATGGGGCAGAAATGGGGAGCCCCGGAGCTCCTGAAGGAGGGAGGCCTAAGGACGTTCACTAGGCGTCACGGTAGACTGGGGTGGGGGGAAACTCGGGGGTCGAAGGGTTAGGGTTAGGGGTGGAGGGCGGGGCTTACTCGGACGAGGGGTGGTGCCCTCTAGGCGCAAGCAGCGGCCCGGCAAGGCCCGGCTCCTGTCCAGAGCATTTGGGTCAGGACGCAAGGAAAGAGAATTTAATTTAATTTAATTTAATAATTTAATTTATATACCGCCCTTCTCCCGTAGGACTCAGGGCGGTGCACAGCATATTAAAACAGACAAACAAAATACATCAAAGAACAAAAAAACCCCCATAAAACCAAATTAAAAGCCAAATATTCGAAGCTGTGTGTCAATTAAAATTTTCTTAAAATCATCCCTACCTAAAAT